AGGAATACCTGTCCTTACATTTTGGGTGGACTCTAATAAGCATGCAATCTGAATGGAGGAACGGTTTCACTCTTTTGATTGAAAGAGTATCCAGAACACTCCTAGGGAATATATAGCCTTAGTCAAGGAATAATGCAGACCTGTCTGGAGAATGTTTGGTTATGGTCAAGATGCCACTTAAGTGTGGAGGAATCTGTAAAGTGAGGCTCTGTGGAGTAAAGGAGAAAAAAAGGCAGCTTTCCTTTCTCTGGGAATGGGATATCTGTTTCCTTCTGGTCTCCCTCTTTGCAGAAGTACAGTCTTTTTTTCCAGCTCTGGCCTCTCATTTCCTCACTGACATGCAGGGTCTCAAGCACTAAGGCTTTCAATTCCTCTTAAGTAATTTTGGGGGGTTAGGACAAGGTTCTGAGAAGATCCCTAAACCATGATGTGTGGCATTAACACGGGCTTCTGCTATTCTGTGAAAACATATATCCAGGTCAGTCTATACCCAATGTCTCTCTCCAGGCCAGCACACCTCCCTGCCACTGCCATGGATAAAAGGGGACTTTGTTACAGCAGTTGGAAGGCGAGAAGGACCACCTTCCTTCATTCCGTCTTGCCTGGATAAGACATTTGTACCAGGCACCCGTTCCTATATGCAAGAGGTTGGCATGTTGGCCGATTGTATTTGATAAAATGAAATGAAAATAATTTGCCGTGCTTATTTTGCCACAGAATGAATGCTTTGATTTTAGGAATGAGACAAAATATAGTGTGAGAACATATTTGTACACATGGCAGTACTCACTTGTCATGTTTCTATGACCTCAACAGGCCAGTGTCCCTATATGTTTGTACTTGAGTCCTATTAGGTAAGCCGCCGTGCCAATTTTTTCCTGGCACTTTATTTGTCAAAGACTCTTAGAGATAAAAATAAACACATGCAACTTGTTTGCCCTATGTGCTTTTCTCCTGGGAGCTATTCATCCTGGTGAATTTTTTTTAAAAAATGTGTACATATGTATGTGTAATATATAGGTTTGTGTATGTATAGATAACTCGAGAAGGTGCAGACATCTAAGATTGGCTGCTAGGCGACCGCGGAGGCCTTTAGAAACCCACCGACCCTGGCTGGGGGTCTGCGGGCCTGAAAGTTGCCCTGTAGCCCCCAGTGGCGTCCAGCCCTCACCCAGTGCCGAAATTGTTAGGAGCAGAGGAAAAGCATTTACTTAACCACTCGAAAGCCCTTGGTATCCCTCACTAATCCCTCGGCCGCGCCACTGAGAGCTCTGTGTGGCCTCGGTCACGGATGGTGTCTCTGGAGTGTATGTTGTGCGTGGACACCTAGGAAGCAGCTTGCACGTAAACACGATGCTTGGGGCTTCCCTCGCGGATGAACGTGCAGCGTCGCCTCTCTTGATGGGAGGGCAGCGCTGAGGCCCCTGGTAACACGATGTGTGGACACACACACACACGCACGCACGCACGCACACACCGCGCGCGCGCACGGCTAGAAACGGTCGAAGTCCCTGGTAACACGATGTGTGGACGCGGACGCGGACACACACACACACACACACACACACACACACCCGCGCGCGCACGCCTAGGAAGGGTCGAAGCGATTCCCGGCGCTCTTCCAGCGCTTGTTTTGTCGGCGTCCCCCCAGCTCCTGGCCCCGGCAGCCGCCCGACCGGCCGCGTGCGGCTCCCCGGGCGCCCCCGGCCCCTCGCGGGCCCCTGAGACTCCGAGCGCGCGCCGGGCCCGCCGCAGGCCCGACGAGGCCCCTGGCACACCCACCGCGCCGCGGCCGCGCGGGAGGCCTGCGCCGCCCGCGCCA